CCAGATATTCTAAACAATGAGATAGCTTCAGTGTAGACGCCTGAAGGTTTAGGACCTCTGGAGGACGTTTGTTGGGCATTGGCTGATAGAGCTTGTGCTGATCAGAAGAAGATCATCTAAATAGCTAAGAAAGAGGATGCCTTGAGATTGAAAATAGTAAGAGAGAGGGGAAAAAAAAAAAAACACAACAAAACACACAGAAGCAGAAAGGAAAATAAAAATAGTGTGATGATATTTGCTGTTGCTAACATCAAATTGTGTTCCCACAATAGTAAACCAAATTAAAAATAAATAAGTGATGTAGCACTGCTAAATAATAGCTACAAAAAATAAAAGAGTGACATAACTGAATAAAATGTCCATAGAGTCCATATATGTAAAATCAATCAATTTGTAATAAAGATGCTGCCATAATTCATGCATTTTCTTCTTGTGCTGATATCCCAAACACCATCAAGTAAAATAGTGCACATAACATAGTACAACCTCAGTGCTCACAGAACTCCCACCTCAGAGCACATGGAAATGTGCTTTATGATATCAACTAGGTAAAAGGATCTTCACTTTTTCAATCCACAGCCATGTGATAGTAATCAAACACCTTTGAGCTTTCAATTGATTGTCAAACCATGCTCCTAATGAGACAACGGATGGTGTCCTGGGGTATTTCCTCCCAGATCTGGACCAAGGCATCACTGAGCTCCTGGACAGCCTGAGGTGCAACCTGGTGGCGTTCGACGAACTGAAACATGATATCCCAGAGATGTTCTATTGAATTTAGGTCAGGCGAGCGTGGGGGCCATTCAATGGTATCAATTCCTTCATCCTCCAGGAACTCCATGCATACTGATAGCATCACAAATATGGGAGTCTCAGTCAGGAACTTGGGAAGGCTCGCACATTGAAACTGTTAAACTGTTTGCACTATCATATATTGTGTATTCCTACATATATTGTTTTTTTTCTTTGCCATTTCAATGCTTATTGTACCTCTTTTTATTGTCCAAATGCTCACCACTCGATGGGTATTTGTTATTGCACTTGTCATTTTTAAATTCCTTAATAAAAATTTATTCAAAAAAAAAGTGGCTGTGTTTTCCTGTAAATGTGTGAAAAAATAAGGCAAGTAAAATTATATAGTGAATATTGTAATTTAATATACCAACCTAATACTGTTATCAGAAAACAATATTTTTCATGAAAATGGTCCCAATGGAAAAAAGCATCTTAGAGTGCATTTTATCTGGCTCAAAGCAGTCATAAATTCAAAGACTAAACATTATATGAAGGGCTAATGAGCAATGCAATCTAATATTGCTTGAAGGCAAATTTCCTTTGAACAGGAAACTTATTTTGAAGTCTTAAAGTAAAATGAGAGAAACATGCTGCTTCATTGGCTGACCTCTTGAAAATGCTTGTTATTGCCTGTCTGATTTACATACTTTAGAATAGGAGAGAAAATAAAGCCCACTACAAAGAAACGTTGTCCACAGTGACCATTCACATTTCTGCTTATACTATGGGAAACAAAAATCTATGGAAAAACCTTAATTTCTACCAATTTATTATTCATAGGCCCCACAAACCTGTAATCATCTTGCAAGGTTTTTTCTGGGTAATTAATTTAAAAAACAAAACCAGAGGATCTACATTGCAGTTATGGAATGGCATCTCAAAAAATCTGCAGTAATTTTTTTTTTTGTATTCGGACCAATTTTTTTTGTGTGCATTAGGGTCCAGTTCAAAACTGCTAAATCAACATCAGAAAATCACCCTTGATAATTGTATCAGTTATATTTAATACATTATTAACTATTTTTACTATCTTTTGGCTAGTAAATTTGGCTTAGATGTGTAAATGACTAAGATTTGAAGCCCTGGATTCCCAAGTACAACGTGACTGCAATGCAAACATGTCTTCACTTTACAATTAATGCATAATACTTCTTGCTTCAGAGATAAAATAATCTTGGTACATTTTTTTTTCTATTTAAAGCACAGCTACACCCCAAAACAAAAAAGTGTTAACACTCTTGCTGTGTTTTTTCATAACACACCATGACCAGAGTAGTATGTTACCATAGTAACATTGTACTACTCTGGGGAAGTGATCAGTATTTTTTTATTTTTTTTTTTTACACATTATGATTGCTTATCACAAAGAATTTAATTACTGTAAGCAAGCATTTAACTGAATTAAATCAATTAAAGAAATCAAATTATTCATTCAGGTTCTTTTGTGATGACACAGATGGGCTGTTATTGGCCCAGTCTGTACCACGTGATTACTATGACAAATCACATCTAGTGATAATAGTGACACAATTATATGCAATGGATGGCATGAACGCAAGCAATGTATTGTTTACAATTATCATGTAACCTGCTGTGATTGGTCACTGCAGTCACATGGTACTGGCAACGGGCCTGTACACAGATCTGTCATCGGCTGTGTCCGTGGGACACAGCTGGAGACAGATCTCGCCACAGTGCAACCCCGTGCGAGGCAGGAGGATGTCATTAGATTGTAAGCTCCAAGGAGCAGGGCCCTCCTAGCCCTCTTGTATTGAACTGTATTGTCTCCCATTATACTGTAAAGTGCTGCGCAAACTGTTGGCGCCATATAAATCCTGTATAATAATATGACGGCCCACCCAGATCATTGAGAGTCCTGCTCAGCCGTCATTTTGCTATTGGGAACTGGTTAAATGTTTGTTTTTGGTTTAAATATGCTTTAAGAATATGTATGTAGTACACATGGTGACATCCCCAAGTTTTAGTTTTTATGTGACGTGTACATCCTTGCTCGCTTACAAAAATCTGAAAACCAACGGTCCTGCACCATAGCATACTTGTTTTTGAAGGACGAAGAAGTGTTTGTACCTGTGCTACTCTGAAGCTTTTGCCTTCTTTATCACTCTTTTATATCACTGGACATGGCTCATAGTGATTATTTCATCTGTTGTCTTTGAGAAAATAAGTATTCATCAATAACACACTTTAAGTAACTGGAACCTTCCCAAAGAAAAAAAAGTGTTCAAAACACAGTTTAAAAAAAATAGGACTAAATTTTTAAGAATTATTTACTTCTCATTCAGAAATGTAAACATACAACTAGAATTTACCAAATAGTAACATGTTTATTTCACTCATGTTCTTAAAAATAGTTCATCTGCAGTTGTCGCAAAAACATCCTACTGTAAAAAAATATTGAACTGTTAGGAAAAAAGCAAAGCATGAAAAACAGACCCAAAAATGTTAAGATTTTATTTACAAAGTTTTTTTTTTCCTCTTTTTGCTGTTTGTTGTACAGAAAGTAAAAATGGTGCTCCAATGTCTATTTAATAGGTAGCCATTGACAATCATGACTCACCAATCACACCCTTAACTTGGTAACCCTTAAGAACCTCAACATAATAGTAAAAGCATTGACCCAGTTTGTTTAGCTGGACATTTTGAGAATATATATATATTTTTAATCTCTGTATATATATATAATTTTTTTTTTTTTTACTTTTTGAGACTTAACTATAAACCATGATGTAAGCTTCCAGTAGGGTTTATTGGCTGTAGGAATGTCACAGTAACGACTCTTTGGCTCTTTTTGGGTGTTCAGGGATAGGGCTTGTTTTCATTGTTACAATTTATTTGTAGCCTGTTTTTCAATAATCCACGAATGGGGCCAGTTCAATCAATACTGTATAATCCAATAAAGTCCTTTTTTTCCCCCAAATTTCCCAAATGACTTAGTCTTCCTCTTCATCACCCTCATCATCTGTTTCCCTCTTCCTCTTCTCTCCTTTTCCAACTTCTTCTTCTGGGGTGAAAAAAATATGGTTATTCTTCTTAAACAAGCATCCCACACAGAAAGCCATTCATACAGCTTTATATCACTTAAAGCAAATAAATGATTTCCATATTCTAATTCACCACACTGATGTGAATGTAGGGACTGATGTGAATATACTAATATATATTTATATATATACTGTATGTAATTATGGCAATTTGAAAATGAATTCAAGAGAATACTTTGATCTTCAGTATTTTATAAGTATGTTAACTAAACTTAAAGCAGAACTCTGTGGGAAAAAAAAAAATCTTATTATATATAACCACAGGTGCTTGCATACCAGTCAATAAATTGTCAGTAGTACTGTATTTAGTCCTGTTGTCAGTGAGAAAGCCAGCATTCTTTACTGCATGAAAGGCTCTCTATCCCCTTCATATCCTGTTCACAAGACCAGTGGCTGATATGTCCTTTTCCCCACAGCCACTGGTCTTGTACATTCCCCCTTGTAGTCCTTTAAAAGCAAGTGTTGCTGCTCGCTCCAGTAGGCAGACCCGCGATTCTCAGATAGCCCGGTCTGCTCCGTCCACTGCCCGGTCTGACCCGCCTCCTATGACAGAAGAGTGTGCAGCGATGCAGGTGGGCAGTGTCAGTGTCCTATTTGTAAACACTACTGCTCCACCTGCCCATACACCCATAGTCTCGCTCACTCAAGACTCAATCCCAGAGCATATTGGGAATTGTAGTCTCAGTGATCAGCATCAAACAGTAACAGGAAGTGACGTCACCACTTCTGAGATCCCTCCTCCCAGAATCCGGGGACTGGAGGAAACTGGGGGAAAAAAATTACATCAATCGCTTTTTTTAAACAGTGAGTTTTCTACAAAGTTTACATTTATATTGAAAATTACATTAACGGTTTTGCTTAGCTATGTAAACATTGCTATTGTGCAGATTTTAACCCCATTCCAGAATTCCTCTTTAACCGGTTCCCGACCGCTCTATAGCAGAAATACTCCTACAGGGCGGCAGGGGCACACAAAATCACGTATATATACACATGATTTTGCATTTCCGGATAGGGGGGCTGTCAATCACCGGGTCCTGCCGAGTAATTACTCGCCGGCGCCCGGTAATTTCTGACGGTCACCAATGGGGAGGAGGGCTGTTTTGTTTACGAACAGTTCTCCTCCCTGTTGGCTCGGGCACACTGTTGTGAATGGCTGTGCACAGCACAGCCATCCACAGCAGTGTGCTTACTGTGAAGCACCAACACACGACCCCCTAGTAAAACACTCCCTGCACATAGTTCACCCTTTGATCACCCCTCATATTATCCCCTTCCTGCCCAGTGGCATTAGTACAGTGTCAGTGATTTTTTTTTTTAGCACTGATCACTGTATTGGTGTCACTGGGGATGTCAGTGACACCAAGCCAGTTCATCCCAGTGTCAGAATGTCCGCCGCAGTCTCGCTATAAATCGCTGACTGCCACCATTACTAGTTGAAAAAAAATTACAAATTCCAGTATCTATACCACCATTTGTAAACGCTATAACTTTCACGTAAACCAATTAATTTACAAATATTGGGATTTTTTTTTAGCAAAGACGTAGCAGAATACATTTTGGCCTAAATTTATGGCGAAATTTGATTTTTAAATTTTTTTACTGGACATGTTTAACCTCTTCACGCCAGCCGAACGCAAATGTGCGACCTCCTGGCGTCTGGGCTTAGACACCGAGCAGCTGCACATTTGCTTTTGATTAAAAAAAGACATACGTGCTGAGAGCGCGCGCCCCCAGCACACATGTCCGGTACTCAAGGAAAAGTTCCGATCTCCTCTTTTGATCGGGACCTTTCCCGATCATGTGACCGCCGTGACGGCGTGTCAGGGCGGTCACATGACCCTAAACCCCGCCCCCGGCTTCTGAAACCCTTAAAGGGCCGGGAGGCGCCGCAGTGAAGGGGTTAATAGCAAAAAGTCAAAAATATTGTTTTTTCTCAAAATTGTCTTTTTTTTTTTTTATAGCACAAAAATTAAAAAACGCACAGACAATCAAATAGCACTGGAAGAAAGCTCAAGTCATGGGGAAAAAAAGAACGTAAATTTCATTTGGGTGCAGCGTTGAAATTCTCCGCATAGACAATATGTAATATTGATAAAATTTGATTTGTGTTTAACATGTTGGCTAGAAGCTCACATTGATATAAGAAACAAACTAATTGTGAATTAGACTAACCATCATCCTCATCTTCATCCTCTTCCTCATCTTCGCGTCCAAAGTCTTCCTCCTGAAACAAATAGATTAGGATTAGCACCCTTCTAGCTTTAGTTTTAACATGCATTTAGACAAATGAGGTTGAATGCATCATACAGGCTTCAATGGCAAAACAGCTTGGATTATTACAAAACAATGCAAGCATTTACTGGAAGTAAATGAGAAGCGAGTATTGGTGGGCTATAACAGAACAGATGCCTGGGGTCCCAGACTCCAGGGGATGCTAAATAAAAAAAATTGCCATTCAGTACTGTTTATGGTAAGGCTAGGTTCACACTGCTGTGATCTGATTTCCAGTGTGATTGTGTAGTGCAGCTTGGATAAGGTTTGGTGTGATACTAGCGTCATTTTTGGCTCCATAGAATATCCAAAGTAGCACAAGAACCTTCTCCAAAATTGCTCCATGCCGAGTTGCGTTGATGTGAACGGGCCCCATTGAAAACAATGTGATTTCCATTGTCATGAGATTTAGTGAGACTAAAATTGTACTAGTACAAAACGGAACTCAAGTCAATTTCAGGCAACATTAAACTTTTTTCAGAAGGTCAGTAAAGCAAGGTGCTGATGTCCACTAGATTTTAAAACTTACAGAATCCTATCGATGATTTTAATGAGGTTTTATCACAATGGTGACAACAATTCTGCTAAACAGAGTTGTTGTCAAGGTAACTGATGCGTGTGGATGCTGCTAAATTTGGCCTGGATATCCAGACATCAATGAGGGCGCCAGCAAAGAGCTAAAGCCCAATTAAAAACACTTTTTGTTTTAGACAGAGCAGGGAAGGGTTGGAACCCTTGTCAGGTTTATATTGCTGTTTATGCTCCTTTTGGGCACAATTCCCCTTACTACCTGACAGAACAGGACAGGACAGGACACATTACCCACTCTATCCAAAACTAAAATTTTTTGTTGGAGTTGGGTTTTGAGACTGGTACTATAAACTAGTGGAAATTTATATTATAGATAAAACCGTATAAATACATTTTAATTGAAAAGTATAAAAGCTATAATTACATCTTCTTCTCCACTTGCATCTTCTTCGTCTTCATCTTCTCCCACTTCTTCCTCCTCTTCATCCTCATCTTCTTCCTCATCTATATCTTCTTCCTCCTCACCTTCTTCCTCGTCATCATCATCTTCCTCTTCGCCCTCTATAAAACAAGGTACATGTGCTATATACTGCATTACTAGATAGATTTGGTGTCCACCAAATAGAAAATTGAAACATTGCTTGGATTTTAGGAATTACATAAAAGCTATTTAGCATAGGAAGAATGGTACAATATCAACCTCTAGGCTAGTCTCACATTTGTCCTATTCAGGAACATGTACAAATCCATAAGCATTCCTGCAACGACCAAAAAAAAAGTGCATCCTTTTGTAGGCGTATGGCGGTAGCCATCAATAGTTAATGGCACCCCAACACACAAAGGGGTTGAATTACTAAAACTGGAGAATGCAAAATCTGGTGCGGCTGTGCATTGGAACCAGCCAGCTTCCAGGTTTTTTTTAATCAAAGCTTAATTGAATAGGTTAGAAGCCGATAAATAAATATTGATCAGTTATGACACCAGCCATTTGAAGGCTTGACCATCAAGTTAAAAGCACAAGCAACTGCGGCATTTATTCACAGCATACCTTGAATGTAACGGTTCTGGGAAACCTGTTAAACTGTTGGGTTTAGTTACACTTTAAAGCAAGACTACACCCTTGACAATTCAGTTGACAGCATCTGTGACAGCCATCATTCATGGCATGTCTTTATTTACCTGTTTTGAGAAAGCCAAATCAATATTTAAAGTCAGACTTAATGTAGACCATTCTAAATCTATTTTATCAATTTCTGTGTTAAAGTAGGATTGTAAATTACACGAAATGCCATATATCTTTTTTTCATAATTACCACTGCCACTTCCTCCTCTGTCCTGATGAAGCAAATATTGGGAAACACGTCGACTGACAAGGACTGTTTGCCACACGTTCCTGTGAACTAGTCACAGTGGGTACTTGATGCACTACATATCTATATACATGTAGTGGTAAAGTTCTTAGAACCCATACTAGGTCTGATTGTATTGTACTACAACAAAATGTATTATAATTTAAATGATACTGTTGTCCCGAATGCTGTGCCAGTAAAGTCTGATACATTTTAAGCCTTTGTTTGTTGTAGAAGCAATTAGGACATGGTACATAAGTCATATTACACAGCCCATGCCAGCCAATCAAAACAGCCAAAGAACAGCACCTGGAAGAACCCAGGGAGAAGATGCTGGCACTGGCAAGGGACTTCACGAACGTCAGATTGGTAAAAGCAATGTACATATTTGGGCCTTTAGCGCCACTTTAACTATTTCTCAAAATAGTTACATTCAAGACACGCCATGAATTACAAGTCACATTTAATTGTGCTTTCAATGGAATTGTCAAGCCATCAAATGGCAATAAAAAGCAGTAGTAAAGCATAGCTGCAAAGAAGCACAAAAAAGCTTGTAAAGAGTAAGTATGGCTGGCCTTATACATGCATATAACTGCAAATCATACATAGAGACAAGCTTTTTCAAACATTGCCAGAAAGAGTCAATTTTTTTTTTAAAGGTTTATTGAAAAACCAGTACCATTTAAACATCTTGAGTGGCAGGCCAGCACTACTTTCTTCCCCGGTCACTAAAAGCAGAACTGAAATCCCACTGTAAAAACCTGAAAGCAGGGGGTTTTTTTTGCATGAAAGACATGCATCGTCTCTTCTGCAACCAAATGCCCCTACCTACCTCCTCACCATCTCCTCTGGCATTATAAACTGAGCTGCGCATGCACAGCTCAGCTAACAATGCCGGGTTGGTCTCTGAATGCCAGGATGATGGCCTCCTGCGCATGTGCAAGAGTTACGCCATGCGTTGGCCTATAAAATGGCCTGAAGAAGATGATAGCACAGGACCGTTGGACAGGCAAGTATGGAGACTTCAGTTATGATTTAGAACGGAAAAAACCCCATCGACTTTAATGGTTTCCCAAAACAGATACAATCAAGGCATTTGAGGAATGATAAGTGTCACAGCTGCTTTTTCTCTCAACAAGACTTACAAGCCATCTTATGGCTGGTGCCACAACAGCTAAAACAGAGGCTAAGATGGCAAGTTTCTTGTCTGTAAAAGATAGAAGGGTTTAGGTCTGCTTTAAGACCGTTATGCAAAACTTGGCATAATACAATATCTAAATCAGCCTTGCAGAAATACACACGGATAGTTTTGAAAAATGTCATGTTTATATCACACACCTTCATCTTCTTCCTCCTCATCAACACCATCCCCATCAGCTTCTGCATCGGAATCTGGAGCTTCTTTATCATCTTTGTCATATCCATCCAGATAAGTCAGCTGAGGAAGGAGTTTGAATACACTTTCTCTGTAGTCATTAAGATTTGTTACTTCACAGTTGAATAGGTCAAGACTCTTTAGATGCTCCAATTTTTTCTGAAAATAAATCAATCATTTTCTCATCAGCAAGACAACGCTTACCAAAAGGAAGTCAAAATGAATGACATTTAAAATGTAAACAGAATGTTGATTCAAATAGATTCCTTCACCCCTGCATACATCTACAAAGATTTCACCTTTATCAGGCTGATTTGCAGCCTACAGATTTTGAGGACATTTCAAACTGCTATGATTTTTGAAAAATTAAAACCAAAAGAAAAAAAAAAAAATAATAATAATATAAAAAACTATCTGATTTCAAAGTAAGCTCTGGTGCACACCAGTGTACCTTTGAAGTCACGCTACTTTAGCGTGACTTCAAAGCCGTTGATCAGTGCGATTTCATTGCAACCTCATTAAACAGATGTTAATGCAAGTCGCACCGAAAATGCACAAAAATAGTGCAGGGACCTTTTAAAGTCCCTGAGACTTGAGTTGCAGCATTTTGAATGGTTTCGCAAATGCGGTGCAACTTGTCATGCGACTTCGAACTGTCAATTCACATGACAAGTCACACTAGTGTGAACCAGCACTTGCCCAACTGTTCTTATTGTAATAATAAACTAACCAATTAAAGTATGGGGAGTGGGCCAGTCTGCAAGCCAGTTATTACACAGATCGTGTCAGAGCACCAGTAACTGTGGACTGCTAATTCCACAGTACAGATGAAGGTGGGATTGCTTCAGTTCCACAGGGGGTTAAAGGGAAACTTTAATTTGTGTCAATGAACAAGCATGCAACAAGTGCAGCCAGAACTCTTATTCTGCATACTTATTCTGGACCCAGGATCACTGAAGCCACTGAATAAAGCAGTTCTAAATAAACCCAAGCAGAGTGGTATTGCAATTTAATACAAAATCCGTTATTACATATCTTATACAAAAAAAAGTGAAACCTTGCAAGGTAATCAAACACATAAAACACACAACAGTAAAATTTAAATAAGCACTCCAGACTGCAATATAGCCAGGTCCTCAGTAGCATCAATTGGAGATGCCAATGACCACACAGATGCTCAAACAAATGCCACGGATGCATATAAGCCTATTAAGGAGAGTGGAAACAAAAAACAGCAAAGCGCTGTGTACAAGATAAATGTGGAGAGGGCAAAATAAAAATGGTCATCGATATCATGAGTGCTGCAAATTAGTGTCCTTAATCATGAATGATCTTATAGGTAGGATTTTACAAGTTCTAATGACCTTGGAATAAAAAGTTTTAAAGGTCATATAAATATTCTGAAGAACACTGTAGAGTTATCCAGTTATATCCATAAAAATAGATCATGTAGATCAGGGCTTAAAATTTCAAGTCCAGCGCTACACACAAACATGTACACACACACACACACACACACACGTACATACACACACACAGACACATGTATACACACACAGGCACGTACAGACACAGAAATACACACGCATAGGACACATGTACACACACACACAGACAAATGTACAGATACACACATGTACGTACATACACACCCCCCCCCCCCATAAAAAGTTGCAGTACTTCGTTGTTCACTCACAGATCCGGGTACTGCACTCTAGGGGGAGGCAGAGAGCACAGCACACCTTCCTTCCTTTGCTTTCACTGCGCTCAGCTATTGAGCAGTCTGATGGCTCCCAGTGCCAATGACAAATCCGGCCTGAGCTCCGAGCCTGCTCAGCAAGACGGCCCTGGGGGACACACTCACCCCCACCATAATTTCCACTCGCCATTGGCGAGCAGGCGAGTGGAAATTTCAAGCCCTGATGTAGATCACAGAAAATGCAAGCAACAGGCATCGTCCATTATGACCGCAACACAGGAGCTGGAAAAGATGGCAACTGCTTCAGCAATAAACATGTAATGCCATATATATTAGCTTCGAACTGGCATAAGGGTTTAACAGATCAGCATACATTCAGACGTTAACACAGATCCAGCTGAAGTGGAAAGTGAAGGTAGATAGTTGCATAGGAAGATCACAATTGAATCATTCACGAAGAGTGTACCCGACACTTCATGACTTGGTAGTGAGCAGTTGATCTCTCTGCATACTTCTGTTGAATGCGGTCTGCATTGAGCTGCACTGTTCCTCATTGAAGTGGTCCAAATGTTCCTGGCAATGACTCCTTTTTAAAGGCAGTTAACAAGTTCTTGCAGTGTTTAGGCACTGCACATGTGGCTCCAGATTCGGCCTGGTTTGACGCATTTCATCCGCCAATCACTGCAGACTTTGTCAGAAATGTGGGTGCTGGCTCTGCTGATTTGTTTAAAATGTCCATGGTTGGGCATAGTCATATTGAATTTTAGTAAATCATCTGAACAATCATATAGAAAATTCCTGGGATACCAGACAGGCACCTACAGAGGAGCAAGCATTGACTCACCAACTAGTAATAAAGGGTAAGAACAATGCCCTTGCAGCAGACATCTTCACAAAAAGTCAGCGATGCCTTGCAGATAGTTCTCCTTCACCTATTCTTGTGCAGTAGTGAACTAGTAAGTAGGAACATGACTGCTATGTAGTTTACAGGGAAGTGGGTAGCCGCTTATTTTTCCCCCATGGAAAATTGTACTATAGGTGACATTTCACAAAAGCATAATATTAGCTAAACTTCCACAAAAACAGAAAAACATTGGAGTTATGCGACTTCTCATCATTTTTCTAAGCCCCCCAAAAATAAAATAAAATTATTTTAATTTAATAAATAAAGGTGGTTTCCATACTGATCAGCAGGGATCCGTTAACAAATCCCTTTCTGTATCAGAACAGAATGAAATGGATGTCTTGTTTTGTGACTTTAGTGTCTGTTTTTTTTCCCCCTCTGTCTTATGATATAGGAAAAAATGGAATGTAACATACCCATGTTAAGTCCAGAGGTAGGCAGATGTAAATTGGATGTGAATACGGTTACATCCCCTTACTGACAATCTGTCATGTTTAGGTCCGAAAAAGAGAAAAAAATAAAAATAAAAAATGAGAAAAAAAAAAAGGCAAACTTTTTTTTTTCCTTTCCCGACCTAGACGGAGGTAATCCAAAATAAATAGATGTACAGACAGTGAGCTATTCACATCCACCTGAAAAACCTGACAGGCGGACCTAATGGGACCTGATAGAAATGACCAAAGGGATCTAAAGGGAAGAGCAGGAGATTAGCAGCAAGACTAAAATTAAGGGCTGGTTCACATAGGATACAGTTCACTGTGTTTTTTTATTTATTTATTTTTTAAATATGGACAGAAGATGTGTTCCAATGGGATAGTTCACACCAGTGCAGTCAGTTCTGGTGCATTCCAGTGCACAAAAAAAGAAAAAAAGTAGAACATAATTAATTTTTTCTGTACAAAACTGTAGTGGAACACAGCAAACATATCACGTGAAGAAAACCAAAGAAACCTTGGAAAAAAGAAAATCAAAAGGAGGTAAAAAAAACACTGGAACGCATTGAAAACGCATCAAAAAAGTGCATGCAGAAATACATCTGGAGTGAAAATTTTGTGGCGAGAACCAGCCCTAAATGTATAATATAGGCTTCATCTGGTACATTCAGCTTTAGGGCTGATTCACACCACATGCAGTCCAGTGAGTTTTTTTTTTTTGCAACAAAAACACATGGATAGTAGGTTATATGGTTTCCAATGGCATAGTTCCCACCAGTGCAGTCAGTTTCAGAAAAAAAAAAAAAAGAAACATGCAGCATTTTTTCTGCACTGAAATGTACTGGAAAGCGGTAAAATGAATCCAAAACACACCAGAATGCATGTGTCTATATTGAAGATGAAGAAAAAAAAAAAAAAAAAAGGACTGGAATGAAACAAAAAATGCACTGGAACGCATCAAAAACATACATACAGAGACAGGGGCGGACTGACAACTTATGGGGCCCCGGGCAATAGGGTATCATGGGGCCCCTGTGTCCAAACCCACACTCAAACCATACCCAAAAAAGCCTATGAAAGGTACCAGGGGAATCTCATGGGGCCCCCTACTGACCCTGGGCCCTCGGGCAGTGCCTGAGTTCCCAAATGGTCAGTCCACCCCTGTACAGAGAATAATCTGGAAAGCATCCAGACTGCGTTTCTATGGTGTGAACCTCCCCTTAATGTATATTAGATAAAAACAATGGATTTAAAGCGGTAGTAATGTCTGAAATAAAACTTGTTCCTAAAGGTAAACTTATTACAAGTCCTACTTTTAGGTACTGTGAATATCTACTAAATTCGCACCGTTTAGTAGATCTTCACATCGGCCGCAGCCAAAGACATCACTGCATATTAGGGCAGCACAGTGGCTAAATGGTTAGCACTTCTGCCTGGCAGTACTAGGATCATTGGTTCACATCCCAACCATGGCACCACCTGCCTGGAGTTTGCATGTTCTCCTAGTGCCTGCGTGGGTTTCCTCCAGGTACTCCGGTTTCCTCCCACACTCCAAAGACATGCTAGTAGGTTGACTGGATCCTGTCTAAATTGGCCCTAGTATGTGTATGAATGTAAGTTAGGGACCTTAGATTGTACACTCCTTGAGGGTTAGGGACTGATGTAAATTTACAATATAAAATAAATTGACGGCGCTATATAAGTATGTGAAATAAATAAAATCTGTCACCATGCATATTCAAGCAGCCGGAGAGTGGGAGCTCAGCACTGGAGGGCTAGGCTTTAATGGTATGTCTGTCATGACGTGCTAGTATGCAGTGCCCTATTAAAATAAATTATTAGAGTTTCTACCACTTTAAATGCCATAAATTGAAGTTCATCTTCTAATGAAAAGGTTCTCTTAATCTTTTTCTCTTTATGAATATCCAACTTACAAAGAACACAAATGAATGCATAAATCACAGTGATGGTGCAATGAGCCAAGTGCAGTAATCAAGCTTTAGTTTACTGTGGTTAGATCGGTAAGAATTCATTTTGATTGGCTGTTATAAATGAGCGCATTTTACGCTTGTTGAATGCCTGTATTCTTTGGGAAACAAAACATCCACTATATAAACATACGTACTTCTGACCTTATATAACAGATCAAACCACTGTGATGTCAAATGCTTGCAAAAACTGTAAGCACCAACACACTTGGAAATGTTCTAGACTGAGAGGGCAGTGTGCGCTGCCTCACCCATATTTGCATTCTGTGAACTTGGTCTAACAACATATTTGTGTGTATGTCTGTGACACAGCTGGGATAAAGGTCATCCTGGACTGCTACAAATTGACGTAGAAAAATTTGAACTTCGTAATGATTCTAACACACTGCCCTTTTTGCCTCCTTTTCAGGATCACTTTAGTTGGAAGAACTTAGAAATATGTGGGGGAACGGACTATAGCAACAACATCTGAAAATTATAGGTATTTTGCTTTTGCTACTGAGGACATATTACCCATGCACAGCGTGTTTTCATGCTACTACTTTGCCAAAGCAAAATCCACAGAAAAGTGGTGGAATTACTTGATGAATGAATCTCAGAGCAGTTATAGAAAATAACAGGTTTGTCAAGACCATTTCACAAATTAACCTATGTTGTGGAGATGACGTTAAACTTGTGTGACTGCTGTATCTACAAAAAGAGTGTTAGAAGTTTAGAAAATTAAAAAAAACAACCTGAGTTTCCATGTAACCCTATGGCTCCTTGAACTGTGGTTCCATGGTGCCTGCATAGATCTGAGCCATTGGCATGACACCAACAATCTTTTTGGCCATCTGTAAGAGGGACACTCTTTCCATACACCAGGGGTCTTCAAACTTTCTAAACAAAGAGCCACTTTACTGTTCTTCAGACTTTAAGGATTGAGGCCACTGGGAGTAGAAATTAACCCGGCTTTAGTACCCCATCATTGGCGTCCATGTGAGGAATAGTGCCACGCTGTTGGTGTCCGTGGCAGCAATTATACCACATTGTGCAATAGTGTCTCATATTAGTGGGAGACAAAGTCCCCCAAGGGCCTGATAATGGCAAGCAAAGGGCTGCAGTTTGGAGACCACCAATATAAAGGAGGATGTGGTTTTAGCAGGGGTTACCCATAGAACCTGAAAATTATTTCAGAAATCCTGAACTAGAGTTTTGAATGAGCATAATAAAAAAGTAAACAACTCCAAAGTTTCTGGTATACCAACCTTCCAAAACATACACAGCACGCGCACACACTTAAAGGACCGCTTTTAATCAGAGTGTAGCATCAAGTCAATTAAACTCCTGGGATATTGATCTGGTCAGTTAAGTAGCAGAGGGGGTTGTTAATCAGTTTCAGCTGCTTTGGTGTTAATTAAATTAACAACAGGTGCACTAGATGGGCAACAATGAGACAATCCCCAAAACAGGAATGGTTTTACATGTGGAGGCCACTGACATTTTGTTTCCCTACTCATCTTTTCTGACTGTTTTTCATTAGTTTTGCATTTGGCTAGGGTCAGTGTCACTACTGGTAGCATGAGGCAATACCTGGACCCTACAGAGGTTGCACAGGCAGTCCAACTCCTCCAGGATGGCACATCAATACATGCCATTGCCAGTCTCTCTCAGCACAGTCTCAAGAGAATGGAGAAGATTCCAGGAGACAGGCAGTTACTCTACGAGAGCTGGACAGGTCAGTAGAAAGTCCTTAACCCATTAGCAGGACTGGTATCTGCTCCTTTGTGCAAGGAGGAACAGGATGAGTACTGCCAGAGCCCCACAAAATGACCTCCAGTAGGCCACTGGTGTGAATGTCTCTGACCAAACAATCAGAAACACTATATGAGGGTGGCCTGAGGACCCGATGTCCTCTAGTGGGCCCAGTGCCTGGCACCATAGAGCTCAATTGGCATTGCCATTGAACACTAGAATTGGCAGGTCCACCACTGGTGCCCTGTGCTTTTCACAGATGAGAGCAGGTTCACCCTGAGCACATGTGACAGATGTGAAAGGGTCTGGAGAAGCCGTGGAGAATGTTATGCTGCCTGTAACATCGTTCAGCATGACTGCTTTTGTGGTGGGTCACTGATGGTCTGGGGAGGCATATCCATGGAGGGACGCATAGACCTCTACAGGCTAGACAATGGCACCCTAACTGCCACTAGGGATGAAATCCTTGGACCCATTGTCAGACCCTGCACTGGTGCAGTGGGTCCTGGGATCCTCCTGGTGCACGACAATGCCCGGCCTCATGTGGTGAGAGTATGCAAGCAGTTCCTGGAGGATGAAGGAATTGATACCATTATTCAATGCCCCCACGCTCGCCTGACCTAAATCCAATAGAGCCTCTCTGGGATGTCATGTTTCGCTGCCATTATCTCAGACTGTTCAGGAGCTCAGTGATGCCCTGGTCCAGATCTGGGAGGAAATACCCCAGGACACCGTCCGTCGTCTCATTAGGAGCATGCCCCGACTTTGTCAGGCATGCATACAAGCACGTGGGGGCCATACAAACTACGGAGTACCATTCTGAGTTGCTGCAATGAAATTTCAGCAAAATGGAGTGGCCTGCTGCATCATTTTTTCACTTTTCAGGGTGTCTTTGAAATCATTCCTCTGTAGGTTTATAATTTTCATTTCCATCAAACGATGGGGTATCCTTACGTTCCTGACACATTACCCAGTCCATATCAGTATAGATATCCAGCATGATATTTTTCCCCATTGAGATCAGATCTGTTTCCAAAGTGTTCCTTGTATATACAGTCAGGTCCATAAATATTGGGACATCTACACAATTCTAACATTTTTGACTCTATACACCACCACAATGGATTTGAAATGAAACGAACAAGATGTGCTTTAACTGCAGACTGTTAGCTTTAAATTTGAGGGTATTTACATCCAAATTAGGTGAACGGTGTAGGAATTACAACAGTTTGCATATGTGCCTCCCACTTGTTAAGGGACCAAAAGTAATGGGACAATTGGCTTCCCAGCTGTTCCATGGCCAAGTGTGTGTTATTCCCTCATTATCCCAATTACAATGAGCAGATAAAAGGTCCAGAGTTCATTTCAAGTCTGCTATTTGCATTTGGAATCTGTTGCTGTCAACTCAAGATGAGATCCAAAGAGCTGTCACTATCAGTGAAGCAAGCCATCATTAGGCTGAAAAAACAAAACAAACCCATCAGAGAGATAGCAAAAACATTAGGCGTGGCCAAAACAACTGTTTGGAACATTCTTAAAAAGAAGGAATGCACCGGTGAGCTTAGCAACACCAAAAGACCCGGAAGACCACGGAAAACAACTTTGGTGGATGACCGAAGAAATCTTTCCCTGGTGAAGAAAACACCCTTCACAACAGTTGGCCAGATCAAGAACACTCTCCAGGAGGTAGGTGTATGTGTGTCAAAGTCACCAATCAAGAGAAGACTTCACCAGAGTGAATACAGAGGGTTCACCACAAGATGGAAACCATTGGTGAGCCTCAAAAACAGGAAGGCCAGATTAGAGTTTGCCAAACGACATCTAAAAAAGCCTTCACAGTTCTGGAACAACATCCTATGGACAGATGAGACCAAGATCAACTTGTACCAGAGTGATGGGAAGAGAAGAGTATGGAGAAGGAAAGGAACTGCTCATGATCCTAAGCATACCACCTCATCAGTGAAGCATGGTGGTGGTAGTGTCATGGCGTGGGCATGTATGGCTGCCAATGGAACTGGTTCTCTTGTATTTCTTGATGATGTGACTGCTGACAAAAGCAGCAGGATGAATTCTGAAGTGTTTCGGGCAATATTATCTGCTCATATTCAGACAAATGCTTTACAACTCATTGGACGCCGCTTCACAGTGCAGATGGACAATGACCCAAAAGCATACTGCAAAAGCAACCAAAGAGTTTTTTAAGGGAAAGAAGTGGAATGTTATGCAATGGCCAAGTCAATCACCTGACCTGAATCCGATTGAGCATGCATTTCACTTGCTGAAGACAAAACTGAAGGGAAAATTCCCCAAGAACAAGCAGGAACTGAAGACAGTTGCAGTAGAGGCCTGGCAGAGCATCACCAGGGATTAAACCCAGCGTCTGGTGATGTCTATGCGTTCCAGACTTCAGGCTGTAATTGACTGCAAAGGATTTGCAACCAAGTATTAAAAAGTGAAAGTTTGATTTATGATTATTATTCTGTCCCATTACTTTTGGTCCCTTAACAAGTGGGAGGCACATATGCAAACTGTTGTAATTCCTACACCGTTCACCTGATTTGGATGTAAATACCCTCAAATTAAAGCTGACAGTCTGCAGTTAAAGCACATCTTGTTCGTTTCATTTCAAATCCATTGTGGTGGTGTATAGAGCCAAAAATGTTAGAATTGTGTCCATGTCCCAATATATATGGACCTGACTGTATAAACACAAATGCACTTTTTCTTTTACAACTTTTTTTTTCAAAAAATCCACCATTACATAATTCCATATAAAACAGTTCTTTATGTATTTTGGTACCCCATGCAGAACACTTACATCGCAATTATATTACAAGCTAACAGAAGACTGCAAATCTAAGCTCAGCATTCTAAATTCTAAAAAACATTTTTCGTAACTACTCTCAGAAGCAAGGCATTTTGAACACCAAAGCAAAAAACAAAAACAAAAAAAACTAAGAGCTTGTGGCCAAATAAATACATACAATTGGAAAATGGGCCTTTTTCAGGAAGCACAAATACTTTTTCTGACAAAAAATGAGTTGTCATTCTTGCTGGGTTGCTTGCTAGCTCTGTTGCAGCAATGACAGTCATGGTAAAGTTGTGTTCAGTTTCACTGCCCTGCAGCTTAGGGGTCAAATGTTGGCTTCTACATTAACTTTATCACGCAGATTTGAAAGTCTGAATAGGTGACAATCGGGTTTTGCATGCTAATGCACAATAACGTACTGTTCTGAAGGCATCTTAGATTTCTTGTGTTCCAATGATTCATGCCGCTACAGGTTGATAAAACTCTTCTCTAAACTTACCTTGCATCCACAAAGCAGCAGACAGGCGTTTGGGAAGCGTTTTTACCGCTTCCCAAACGCCTGTGAAAATTCTGCACATTGCAGCACATGGTGCTGTTCACACGGGAGCGTTAGCATCACGGCAAAACGGACACCTCTGGTAGAGTCAGGAGGAGTTGAAGCCTCCTATTCAAGTCTATGGTGCCGCTCCGCAAACGCCCGGCCGGCGTTTGCGATGCGGTTGCGGGGCATTTGCGGTTGCGGGGCAGCATTCAAACTTCATTATAGGCGTTTGTGGGGCTTTTTTAATGCTTTGCAAACGCCTAGCAACCGCCTATAAACCGCGCATGCGGCGTTTGAGGAGCGTTTGCGGAGCGCTATAAAAACGCTATAAAATGCTCCGCAAACGCCGGACCAACGCTTGTCAAACGCTATAGGGGCGTTTGACAAGAGTTGGAAAAAACAGTCAAGTGTGAACGAGCCCTAACTGACTTGCAGAAAATGTTATTTACTTCATATTGTGGAAACAAATCATTTTAGCAGTTTACTCACTAGAGGGCAATATTGTAGCATTGAAAAAAATCTTGCTACAGACAAAAGCAATATTTTTAGCCTGAAACATTGAAGCAAATATAACTAAAACAGCACTATTCTGAAATTTAAAAAATATAGGAGCGATTCGATAAGGCATACGCAACATATTTCTAGTGTTGTACTACGAAGCTTTGCTCCAAGTTCATAAAACTGCTGTTCCATTTTTATAGTTGTGTGTGTCAAATTCAGATTCATACATACAATTGTGGATGTAAATAGGACCTCTTCCGTAATGACGTAAAAGTAGCAAGCAGTGTGTTGCACTACTGCAGGACTAAAGATCATCTATGACAATGGCACGCTTTATGAATTTCATAGATCATGTGAAAGAACAGAATCAGTTTACCATGTACAGATATACTTGTGTCATATTAACCAACTCTGTACAATGGTTTTGCACATAGCAGCCCCGATCCTCCTCTTTTCGGGTACCCCATGGCCATTTCTGGTTCCTCCCCCCATTCCCCCAAGCCGCTTGCTAAGGAGGCACCCTAGTGTGCTTGCTCCAAGCCGGTTCCATGTATCCAGAAGACACATGAAGCATGGCTTGGCCCCGCTTCATAAGGGCGGGGGCTGGGAGGAGCACTCAGAAGGTTTTTGACCTTATTGCAGAGAATGCATTCAGGTAAAAAACCTTCAGCCTTTAGAACCACTTTACAATTGTGGATGAAATTGGACCGATCTGCTTGTCCAAAATTCCGGGTGAGAGGTGTCAGACGGTTATTGATGGTTTATAGGAAGCGACTGATTTTCAGTTTGTTTTCCGATGTGCACACAATATTAAGTAGTAAGGGTGCAATACTTTTGTCCAGCATTTTGGGGTTTTGTGTGACCTTATGTCTCATTTTGTCTTTTTGCTCTGTATATTCTTAGTTCCAAATACATACAACCAAGGCGGATCAGACAACATGTGTTAGCAAAACATAATCTTACTCCCGTGTGAGGTTCATGTTTGTATGGACAGGTGTTCCCTGGATCCCTGTGCTGGCAGTCCCCATTCATGTCAACTGGGAAGCAACAGCTGCTACCAATTTGGCATTCATGTGGGCGTGGGTCTCCAAACGCAGACAGTGTCAGTTCAGGGACATGCACCTGCACGGATGTCAAACAGAGCAGCGGCTGTGTCTGTGCAGTTGCTGCATTCCAAATGGGACTGCTTGCACGTGGATGCACGGAACATCTGTGCATCCCGTGTGGGAAAACACAGCCCTACTACTTCTAAAGTACTGGCGTTGATATAATGGGCACAATACCATGTGCAAAATGACAGGGTAGACAGGAAGGCAACACCAGGCCATACACGCAACAAAATTTTCAACAACTTTGCTTTATCGAAATGTCTATGTAAATGAAAGACTGGAGCATTTTAGGTCATAATTTTATACAGCCTGTATGATTTTACAATAAATCTTTTTTTAGATCTGTAAAATCTTCAGATTGTGATTTTCCACAATTTTGAGCTTTATCAATTTTATCTGCCAAAAGTTTCTTTTGTACTTTTAATGCCGTCATTTTGGACATTTCCCCAACTTTTCTCTTGAATTTGTCTCTATTAGGCTCTGTGTGCACAAGGCATGCCTTCATGCACAGAGAACTACTGTTCTCCATACATTTTATACTCTGCACAGGCTCTTTTCTCTCAGCCCTGGTTCCCTTCTCTCTCCCCCCCCCAAATATGTGTGGGCAAGAGGAATGACAGGCCTGCAGACATCCATGTAAACCAAGCCCTTCGTTTTGAAATGTATTTTAGTCATAAAACAGTACACTTCAGGACAGATGAATATTTGGGATTTAGCATTTTGAGTAGTGGTGAACACAGTAGAGTATCTTCCAAGTGAAATCTTTAGAACTTCCATGCCCCCAGTTGTTCGGGAGATATCAATCCTCTGTTGCCATGGATGCTACTAAAAAGCACTTACATAAGCCATGTCCTTTAATCAAACCCTTACCTTCTTTACATTTGGATACTATACAAAAACTTATAATTGCAGTCGTAAGGCAAGCAGCCTATAAAACTAATGATGGGCTGAAAGCTGCTGCGGCTGGATGGGGCACTAAGTACTACTAACGTTTAGAGTGGTATGCACCCAGGAATGAATGCCCAGAATGCAGACTTCTTGCATGCCGGACATTCATCCCTGGGCACATACTGCCCTAAACATAAGTACTACTTGGTACTAGTTCAGCTGAAGCAGCTTTTAGCCGCTCAGGTTTACAGGCTGCTAGCAGTGGGGCTACACAGTGCACATGTACCTTCTGCCCGCACCTAAATGCTAGTCTTTCCCGCACTGCAGCCAAACGCCCAGTGTGCATGAGACCTTGAAGATGTAATAAATTTGAATTAAATCAAAAATATGTCCTCTTAGGGCATGCACTTCTTTGAACATACACGATAATGAAACACTGCAATGTTCATTATCAGAGAAAGGCACAACAGTCCAGAATGTTTCCATCATAAGTTATTCTACAGAGCTCTAGATCAGTGGGAATACTCTACTTACCAAAGGTTCCAAGGTGCTAATATCTTTTAATTTATTTCCACTGAGATTTAGATGTGTGAGGTTTGGGAGCTTCTCTGCTAGTACATCTAGACCTCCAGAAATCCGGTTGTCACTTAGTTCAAGCTAAAAACACAGGAATGAGAAAAATATTTGTAAAGGTGACCATTTTATACTGTAAAAACTTGCATAAAGAAAATAACCGCAAATAATGTTCCATGCACATATATGCAATTTACTCTTCCATTTGGCTCAATACACTTTTTGTACTCCGGGCACCAGGGAATGCTCAGAAAGTTACAAATATATACTGCTCCTTAATGCTCCTTTACAGAATGTATGTTCACAAGCACTGAAACCTCTTCCAAGCTAGCTGTTCATAGAAATTCATATATCTCAGTGTTTTTCAACCTTTTTTTAAGTCAAGGCACCCTTTAAATAGCAAAATCCTGGGGCACACTAGTCTAAAGGGCTTGTTCATACAAGGAGGTGCATCTGAGCACGAGCGCTTTTTCACGTTCCCACATGTTGCATTTTTGAACAGGCTGCTCTATGTTTGTGAAACACGCAAAAAAGGAACTGGTATGATTTTTATACTGTGCCCCACTAAAATGCCTGGTACTGTGGTACCGTGCATTGTATTGGGCGCAAACGTACATGCAACTGGTGGATGCATGGTGGTGCCATTAAGAATTAATGGCACCTCTATTCATCTTCAAAAGGCAGTGTACTCTTTCACACGCATTCCCGCACTGTGAAAAACGCCCTAAAATGTAGTTTGTAAGGCAGATCCCACTTGCTAACACAAATCCCTCCCTCCATCCCCTATAGAGAGAGGAGGCAGGAGGGGTTGTACAGGATTGTGCAGCATTACATTACTGCCCCCACCCATGGGGAATGAGCAGCCTGGAGAGGAGGTCTGATCATGAAAAAGTTACTCTGTCAAAGTGGAACGTCACTCTCTCAATCAACATGGACTATTTCTAATGCTTGTGCTGCTAGCATTAGAAAAGAGATAGAAAAGTATACCATATTTACCGGTTTTAACCTTTTTTTTTGCATTCCTGCTTTTACATCCTGGTTTCCATGCCTAGGCAAAAGTCATACATCCCAGGAGTCTTCAGGAGGGGAGGGTTCTCACCTTAGCCAATGCCTGAGCTATGGACAGATGGACTCCACCAAATAACTGCTACATGAATCCTCTACCTCTACTGCCCTCATCTGTCTACTGACAGAAATGCCAGGCGGTGTTTTTTAAAATGATTTTTCAGCAAAATAAAGCTGGATGGATGGATGGAGGGAGGAGTTGGTTTTGAATATTAAAAATGAATTCTATAGAATTTTTGCATAGCGTTAGTCAGATGCAGTGCAGTTCCACTTTAATGTCTGTGTAAAGAGAGGAGGGAGAGAGCTCACCTGCACCTCCTCCTGGCTCACTCCTCTATGCGGTTATCTTTACTCTCGCCGGCAAAGCTGAAAGCTATACAAGCTACCTGGCCTGTCCTTAGCAACTGATGACATCATCAGTTGGTAGGATGCAGGCGGATGGCTTGTACGGCTTTCAGTTCTGTGGCAACAGTACAGATGACAGGATAGAGGAGGAGAGAGCTGGAAGGAGGTGTGGGGTGGGGGCACTCTCTCTCCTCTCTGTACACAGATGTTAACACAGCAACTTTTTCATGATCAGACTGTAAAAGGGTTATGTGTCATTTTGCAGCCGGACCCAGATTGAAAAACCGATATATTCTATGACAGACGTTCAAAACATTTACATGTTTATCTGCATCTACAGTGCAGTCAATATAGTGTGAAAAGAGGAACATTTATCATCTTCCTTACACAAGGAAGTGCTATGAAGGAGGGAGTTTTATGACACAGACTACTCATACCATTGCTGTTCAATGCAGAAATTCCTGCTACTCAAAAGTGCACTACGCATACATAAAACATACCCCTGACCAATGCTTAGAAGCAAAGTAAAAAACAAAAATGGTATAAATCTAGCACAGATGTTTGGTAAACAATCACAGGCAGGTAGTTGGAATTGCAGGTAGCAGGATTGGAAAAAAAAAATAAAAAAAATCACATAAAAGTTGACTGACACAGGGAGCAGTGTATTTTATTATAATAAAAATGCCACGATGCAAAAAAATTGCCTTTATACATTACAATTCATAAGGTATGTGTTGTCCTCAAAATGAATGTTACTGTACCCCAAACAATGCATTTAGGGTTTTTTTTTTGTTAAAAGTACTGTCAATGGTGTAAATAAACTATGTTGGAATTCTTTTTTTATTGTAATTCCTACTTGACATGTATTTCCTTACAGTAAAACAAAAGTCTTCCCACAGAAAGTATGGGCAAACTCCAAGGTACATCATGTGATTATGTAGTCTTTCAGCTCAGGTACTCATATACCTCAGTAATAAGTTTCAATGCTCCTGTACAGGAGAGACCGACTCTCCATCCAGTGTTTCAGCAGCAAGCTGTGGCTCCTGGACTTAGATTGGTCACTTTATTCCGATTAACAAAATAGTAGGCCTGTGGCGCTTACTGCTCAATGGGAGATGCGCTAACAACTAACCATTAACAACAAAAAAGGCTTGAATGTGTTATGAGGTAAGCACGTTTTGTGGGGTTTTTTTTTATGGGAAATCATTAGCGATTTCTTTTACTTAAAGTGGTTGTAAACGCTCAAGGTTTTTTATACCGTCATGCATTCTATGCATGAAGGTAAAAAAACCTTCTGTGTGCAGCAGTGCCCCCAGACCCCCCCAATATTTACCCAAGCCCCACTGCGATCCAGCGATGTGCATGACAGCCTCGGCTGTCTTGGGTCTCCACATCCTCATTGGCTGGGACCGTAAACAGGGAGCCATTGGCGCAGACTGCTGCCAGTTACAGCCAGTCAGACAATGAGGAGAGAAAGGGGGTGGGCCAAGCCATGGCTCTGTGTGTGAATGGACACATGGAGCAGTGGGTGCCCCCATAGCAAGCTGCTTGCTATGGGGGCACTTCGAAGAAATGAGGAGCCAGGGGCACCAGTGGGGGACCCGAGAAAAGGAGGATCCAGGCTGCTCTGTGCAAAACCACTGCACACAGCAGGTAAGTATAGACATGTTTGTTATTTTACAAAAAAAAAAAAAAACAAAAATTAACCTTTAGTATTGCTTTAATAAACTGAGGTTAATTTGAAGGCTTGGTCAGTCACATTTTGAAATCAATAGTGGCATCATTGAATTACAAAACACACTAAATTCTCGATTGGCAAATCATTCAGAATTCGACCCTGCAAAAGGTAGGGAAAGGGTTAAAACATCAAGGTTTTTTTTTTTTTTTGCTCTCTGGAAGGGACATTTTTGCTCTTGTGACCACTGTCATTGGAGCAGAAAGTAACGGAAAATGAAAAATCTTACAGTTGTCACCCTAAACAGAGAAGAGGGAAATCTCAACAGGGGCACCTTGTAAAGCTACAACTATCTAAGGCAGGCCATAGATCAGGGCTTAAAATTTCAAGTCCTGAGCTACTAGCCAGGCCTTAAGAGTTACTCGCCACCAACAAACACACACAAACAGACACCTGTACACACACACACACACACACACACACACACAGACATGTACATACGCATACACACACAGAAACATGTACACACACATGGAAACACATGTACACACATACAGACACATGTATACAAACACAGGCACGTACAGACGCATACATACAGATACATGCACATACACAGAAATACACACGCACAGACACATGTACATACATACACAGACACATGTACACACAGACACATGTACGCACATACACACAAACACACATGTACACACACATACATGCATACACAGACACATGTACATACATACAGACACATACACACACATGTACACACCCCCCCCTATAAAAAGTTGCAGTACTTCGTTGTTCACTCACAGAGCCAGATACTGCACTCTAGGGGGAGGCAGAGAGCACAGCACACACTCCTTGCTTTGCTTTCACTGCGCTCAGCTATTGAGCAGTCTGACGGCTCCCAGTGCCAATGACAGATCCGGCCTAAGCTACTGGCCTGCTCAGCAAGACGGCCCTGGGGGACACACTCGCCTCCACCATAATTTCCACTCGCCATTGGCGAGTGGAAATTTCAAGGCCTGCCATAGATGATTCAATTTTCTTTCCTGCTACCAAGGAGCTGCCCCTGCCAGGGAAGCACAGTGATTATTGCTAGCAGCTATAGCTGCTGGCAATCGCATGTAAAAATCCAACATGCTGGTTGTACCCAAGTCGATCGATGGATCAACTTGAGTACAATGTGCCTGCCCATAGATGGTTTGAATCTTGCCCGGTCCCTGCTGAACCATCTATGGCTAGCATAAGTAGGATGCCTATTCTCCCTAATGGGTCTACATAGGAAAATAAAACAATAGCCGCACATCTTCCTATTCTTAATAAAATGTTCTGAATACAGATGGGCTACAATAGTTTTTTACACTGCACTTTTGCTTTACTGAATAACTGTAAAAAGTAAAAAAAAAAAAAAAGTAATACCTTCATACTACAATTAGGCAGTGCACTCATACATATGGATGCAATCAACATCCTCAGAAGACCAACATCAAAATGAAAAGCAACAATGTTCTGCCACCTCTCAGGAGTTTGTGGTTAACAGCCTATATTAGCTCACATGCATTTAGTTTAGGAGAGTTTAGTATTTTTTCTGCCAGAATGCTCCAATCAAAAATGCAAACCAGAAGGGTTTTCTCGCCTGCATCTAAACATTGAGCTTAAAATACGCCTCGAATCGTCCTAATGTGCATTGACCCATAGGATAACATTGAGCTGCTTCTATAGGCAGAACACAAAACATAAAAAGATTTTTAAGCCCAGTGTGCATGGAGTCTTGGTCAACTAGCCTAAAAAGCACCATGTTTATATTATATTTATATTAATACAGCCTCGGTTGGCTCATAGAGACAAAAAAGGTCAGTTTTCCATCTTTACTTCCAATTTAAATACTTTCTCTACTATGCAGTTTAGGGCTCATTCACATCAACCTGCACATGAAAATCTGGGGCGGGATCACTGGGTAATGCCACTGGGTGACCCCACCCCTTTGTTTCCTTTAGCGGCGGGGAGAATGACAGCTCCTTCTTGGAGCTATAGTGAAGGAAAAAAAAAAGCTGGTAATTACATTTAAAAACCGGCATTGACATATGGCGGCAGCCAGTGTCAGAGCCTGAGTGTACACACTGCTCCTCTCCTGCCCCCTCCTTGCACACACTGCCCCCCACACCCTCCTACAAAGAGGACCTATCACTCATACACTATCACATAGGGGACTATTGGTCCCCTATGTGATAGCAATAAAATCATATGAACGATAGGTCTTCTTTGTAGGGGGGACAAATAATGCAGATAGGGCTATTTTTGGCCGATATGTTTCGGCTGACAAAATTTTGGTGGATCCCTAACAACTAGTTAATGACATAACTCCACCTCCTAGGCTTAGACCGGCCATTTACAACAGGAGTAGCAGTGGGTGAGGATTGTTGGGCTATGGTGCTGTGTCAACATTGCTAAATCATTGAGAATGATGTGGATGGACATTTCCCCACCCGCCTTCCATTCCCCAAAAATATATGTCACCTAGATTCCTTGGCCCCTTTGTTTACAAAGAGAACCTGCAGCGGATCTGTCATTTAGCCGCAGTAAAAAAAAAAGTCCCCCCTTTTTTTTTTTTAGAAAAAAGTACACTGTACTGCTCTGCATCACCACATGCATATTTTAGGGGCATCCCAAAACCAAGGTACCTAAAAGATTTGTGCATTTGTAATGTTTTCGTATAGGCTCCATGCACACTAGCATTTTTTTAAAGCGCCTAGAAGCTGTTATTAGCAAGTTTTCTGCTCCTAGAAGCGAAATAGTGTTATCCTATATGTGTCTATGCACACTACTCTATGGTATTAGTTTCCAGATGCTGAAGCTCCTAGCTTCAGCATCTCGAGCAGAAAAACATTTTTTTGTAGAGTTTTTGGGGCGTTTTTCCATCAGAAAAAAATGCTAAATGCTCCTACAAGCTGCTAAATGCTACTAAAATACTCCTGATAGCTTTTTTTCCCCTCTACATGTACTGTAAAAACACTAATAAAACGCTAACGCTCCTAAAACACTGGATAAAGAAAATGCTGGTAAGAGCATTTTTTAGCAGTGTTTTTTTCTGCTTTAAAAATTGCTAATGGGCAGGGAGCCTTAAGCTACATTAAAAGGCCCTTTCCCTGCTGGACAGCATTTATTAAAAAGAAACTAAAAATAATTTTCCATTGATACACATCTCCCGTGGCATCGCCCTGATACACATACCCTTTATTTTAACACAAACTGAGAAACTGGCCCTGAAAAATGGGCAGAAAAAAAAAAACAAAACAATATTTGACTCTTACACTTCAATGGGGCTTAGCATTCTGTTTGGGTTTAGCATATCCTCTCCTGGGTTCACTGGACTTTAGGCAAACCAAACCTTTCCCGTGTTGAAAACTTAAAGAGGTTCTTCAGTCCAAGAAAAAAATCTAAAAAATTGGCTACTGGTGCGCAAGTAGGAGTGGGTACCGAACAACCCCCCCCCCCCAAACAACAACCCTCCAAAAGTGTCAAAGGCGCCAGGAAGGAGATGATAAAGCGGAACGTTCAATTTAGGGTGAAGTTCTGCTTTAGGTGTCTTCCAAGTAATAAATATTTCTGTTCCAGCAAATGTGTTTTTATTCAGATTGTTCAAACTGCAAACCAAGAATTGCTGCACAGTAATCCAATTAGTAAAGACAGTTTATGATTTGTCTAACTTTATTTGAAAAGCTAATGTAGCAAAGAAGTGTTAAAACTGGGACAAAATTACAAGTCTAAAAGAAATTAAGACGAAAAAATATTATTAAAATAAAAATGAAATGAAAGTCTCACCTTTTTTAACTTGGGTAATTTTGGAAGATTTGAAACAGACATCAACATAACATTTATAAGGCTGAGGAACTCTAGATTGACAAACTCTGCTGTTAGACCCTCGATTTTGCCTTCTTTTGCCCTGCAGTTGTCCAAAACTAGTTCCCGTACCTGTGTAAAAGCAATGACAAACCTTTAATAAGCAGAAAAATAGTTTACAAGTCTTAAAAAGTCAATACTGAACAAAATATAACAGGGAACCTATTACAGTGATCAAGCTCCAACTTTTCTGGGAATTAAACCAAACTGTAGCTCTGTTGTAATCTCTTTTTTTAAGTTAATAAGATATATATATATATTTATTATATATATAGATAAAAGCATACCACAGTGTGTAAACCAGAGTGTGTATAAAAGTATTAAATACGAACACTAGTTCTAAATGAAGTGGCATGCAAAGAACGAACCAAAGAATAAAGTAATTAAGAAACAGCATATGGAGAAACTATGGCAACAGCATTCCCCTTAAAAAAAAAAAAATTCAAAGACTGTAAACATAAGAACGAAATATTACTAGATTAGTTTACAGAAAAATTCCATAACTGATGTGTATTTGTCAAGTCATCTGAATACATACCAACATACTGCTACCATGTCTGCAGTGACTGTTTAGCCAATCAGACATTGGTTATTTTACTCTGTCTAATATAGGATTAAAGAAATAATTTTTTTTTAAATAAACATCTTATACTTACCTTCTCTGTGCAATGGTTAGCACAGAGCAAACCCGATCCTCCTCTTATGAGGTCCCCCCACCAGTGCTCCTGGCTTTTCCTCCTCTCCATGTGCCACTAATGGAAGCCGCTTCCTATGGGGGCACACAGACCGCAGCACTGCTCCGCTCCCCCATTCCCTCAACACTGGATTTGACTGACAGCAGTAGGAGCCAATGGGGTCAATTCACTAAAGGTTACTGCATGTGCTATGAAGGTCATGTGACTTTTTTTGATCACATGAGATAATAAAAGAATCAATTCATCAAAGTAAAAGATTGAATAAGAAGTAAATACCGCACATTTGTAAACCCCTTCACACTGGCGCCTCCTGGCCCTTTAACCTCTTCACGCCGGCCGCACGAAAATGTGTGGTCTCCCGGCATCTGGGCCTTGAGGCCGAGCGGCCGCACAGTTACATGCAATTAGCAAAAACATATGTGCTGAGAGTGCGCGCCCTGCGCGCTCCCAGCACACATGTCCGGTGCTCACAGAAATGTCCCGATCGCCTCTTTCCATCGGGACCTTTTCCGATCTTGTGACCACCGTGATGGCGAATCACTGTGGTCACATGACCTTAAAACCCCACCCCGCCTCTTGAAACTCTCAAAGAGCCGGGAGGCACCGGCGCCAAGGGGTTAAAGGGTTTCTGCCGCCAGAAAGTGGGGCGGGGTTTTAGTGTCATGTGACCACCGTGATTGGCGATCACATGATCGGAAAGGTCCCGATCGCAAGCAGAGATTGGGATCTTTCCGGGGGACACTGACACGTGCTGGGAGTGCGCTCTCAGCATATATTTTTGTTTACAAATGGTACGCAAATATAAAGCTGCTCGGCGTCAAGGCCCAGTCACTGAGAGGCCGCATATTTGCATATCGTCAGCATGAAGAGGTTAAAATAATGAGAAATACTGCACAAAACATAAGATAAATCATTACATTCAATTCACTAAAAAACACGCATTTTTTATTTCTCACCTGCTGTTTGCTGGCGGTATTTTAGAAAAATACAAAATAACAATTAGGCTCCATGCTCACGTTAAAAACGTGGGAGTTTTTTTAGCGTTTTTGCATTAGAGTTTACTGGCGTTTTGCAGCCAGAAACGCCAGTTTGCGGTGTTTTACATCACTTTGCTGCATTTTTCAGCGTTCGAGAGTTTTTACAGCTAAAAAACTCCTCTAGAAACCCACTAGTTCTGGCCAAAAATGGCGATTACAGTCTAGGTGTGCATGGACACATAGGATAACATGCTGGGGAGTTTACTGGCTGTAGAAAAAAGCATCAAAAGCCAAAAACAGCCACTGTAAAAATGTTTAGTGTGCATGAGGACTTAGAGGAACTCCGCAATGGCTAGAAAGTGAAAAGTATACAATGTGGCAGTGTGAAAATGTTCTCCTCTGAGCTCAGGAATGTGAACTAAATTGTAACATTTCATCAGAGGGAGATTGTTTTGTGAAATGAAAACACACAAGAATGTTTTTCATAGTTTCACAATATTGCTGTGTGCCTTCTGGTGCATTGAAAAAAAAAATGCGAAAACACACCAAAAATAATGCAAAGTTTAAGCGCTAAAAAAAACAAAACAAAATTTTAAAAGTCAGATATACAGTAAATACTGTAGCTGCTGACTTTCAAATTAGGGCATTAGGCATCCAGTGTGTCTTCACCCAAGACGAATCTTCAATCAGCTATTGCTGCCCCCATCTTTACTAAGGGAGACCGGCAGTGAAGCCTTGCAACTTCGGAGCCAGTTTCCTGAAGAACGCTGTATTTCGTGAATGGGCCGCAGACTCCTGAGACTTGTACAGTGTCCCAGAAAGCTACAGGGGAAGAGAGGTGTGAACTTCTGAGCCAGTGCACCATGGCGGATACCAGGTCAAAACCAGGTAAGCACCCCCCCCCCCCCCCAAAAAAAGGTGCCAAAGGTGGAAGGAGTCAGACAAGCAGAGCTTCCCCATTTGGGTGTAACTCTGCTTCAAGGTAAAAAAAAATCTTGGGCATTTACAACCACTTTAAACCTACATTTGAACTCCAAACAGGCATCCAAAAAACTATTTAACCACTTCCCGTCCGGCCCATGTATATAAACGGCCGGACAGGAGCAGTGCAGGAGCGGGTGACCGTTTATTCACTGCCTGCGCACGCTCCCTGGGAGTGCGTGGCACACCGCGATCCGCAGCGGAACACCGATCTCTGTGCGAGGTCCCGATCATGTGATCACTGATTGGCCAATTAGTGATCACATGCAGAGTAGTAAACAAGATATCACTTCCTGACATCATTGCTTACTATGTGTGAATTCTGTGAATGATCACAGAGGTCACATGGTACAAGCCTATTCACAACAACCTTGTACCATGTGACAAGCTGTGACCAATCACAGCTCTCACAGTATTTCTCAATGGCTGCAAGAATGCAGCCAGAGAGAAGGAGAAATGATTGCTTTTACGGCCTTTATGGGTGTAAAAGCAATCAGTGTAAAAAAAGAAAATAAAAACTTCATCACCCCCCACAAGTAGTACAGTGTCACTATGGTGACACTGTAGTGCTAGGGTGATGGAATGTTAAAAACAAAACAAAACAAATAATATAAAAAAAAAATACAATAAAAATGTAAAAACAATTTTTGAAAAAATTATAATTTTTGTTATAAACTAATTTGGGTTATTATTTATTTCAACTAAAAAGATAGCTGAATACACTTTGGCCAAGATTTATGAAGAAAGATTATTTGCAAAATTTTATAAGAAAAACACTTTTTTTTTTCAAAATGTTTGGACTTTTTCATTTATATAGCAAAAAAATTTAAATCCCAGTGGTGAATAAATACCAGCAAAATAAAGTTTTATCTGTCTCAAAAAAATTCATATGGGGCCAGTGTTGCATGACTGCGCAATTGTGTGATGGCACTGAAAGCTGAAAATTGGCCTGGACAGGAAGGGGGTAAAAGTGTCCGGACTTGAAGTGGTTAAAAGAGATTTCTTCCTTTAAAGTGTATGCAAACCCAACATATACCATACTTTTCAGCATGCTCAGAATTATGTCTGTGCCCAGTTTTCCTAAGCAAACACAATTTTACGTATCTATGGCAAAGTTTCTCATCTTAAACCAGAACTCCAGGAATAATTCACACAACAGACTTAATGTGGAGCAACATTCTACCAATATTTTACATGCCAGAACTGTATATCCAGCCATGTATGGATCAAAATTCATCCAGTTCAGAAGGGACCAGACGAATTTCGATCTATGTATAGGCAGGGAGATTGTACAGAAATTGATCCATCAATTGACTTTTGTACAACTGCCTTGTTGAATTTTCCTGATCACTGACAATTGATGATTGACAGGTAGTTCCTGTATGGCGGAGGGGGCAGAAGCTCCTGAACATATTTTGTATCTGGCAGCAGAGTGAAGTTACTCCTACCTTTCTGGATGAAGGCACTGCTTATTGTATGTAGTGAATGCTACTACAGACTATTTACAATGTACCCAACATCTATAACAGATTATGCCATAGTGTCACATGTCACATATTAGGCTGCGATTTGTCCCGCATAGTTTACAGCGATTTCTGCACGTTTTTGAGCTTTGGCATTTTTATTAGCCAGTAGAGAAAAATATCATCTATTGCATCATTTGTTGCTAGGTTTTTCTGTTATTTTTAGTTTTCCATCAACTTTTAGTTTTATTATTGTTATATTATTCGTTTATTATTTTGTTTTTTTTGTTCGGGTAAGGGATTAGAGTTAAGGTTATGTTAGAGTTAGGATTAGTATTTTATTTCTTATTATTTATTTATAGTATGTTATTTATCATTTTCTTTTTTTTTTCCTATTTGTTTTTTTGTTAGGGTGATATTAATAATAAATTAATAAATTTAAAATACATAAATACATTAAACTAATCATAAATACTTGTAAGAACAAATTAATATTAATTAAGGCATAACCTTAACCCCCTAAAAGTAATAAAATTATATTTTTTTAATATAATTATGGTCTTTTTTTTGTTCGGGTGTTTTTTATTATTATAATTATTTATTTTTAAGGTTAGGGGTTAATTATTTATGATTTATTTAGCAAGATTTTTATTTATATGTGTATTTATTTGATATATTTTACATTTATTCAGATATTACTTTTTTTTAAAAATTTTTAATTTGAGCAGAAAATCCTGCAAAACGTGCATTAAACCGCGCTTTTCTATTCTTTTCTATGGGAATAAAAGCGCACCAAAAACGTGCAAATCTGTCAAATATGAGCTACAAAAGTAAATTTTTTTTTGAGCTTCAGGCGACTTGGAGTGCAAATGTTAACCATCTCCATAAAGTAATATTGATTTTTCCCCCTGAGCATTTTGGAGCTTTGAGCTACAAAACGCTCAGGTGTGAATGGG